AAAATTTTGAGTTATTTTGCTTCGATTATTTATATTACACCTGAACTTAAAATTTGGTTGGCCAATCTTTGTAGATGTGCTAGAAGGGTTTTTGATCGATAGATTAGCTGCATAACTAAAATTCTGAATTTAGTGTCAGGAATAGGTTAGAGCTAGGCCAGCATCAAAGAATAATATTAGCCTATTATATTTAGAGTTAAAAATTACATTTTACAAATTTACAATATGTAAGTTTTAGTAACATGGATTTCATATAAATTTTGTATATGATATATAGTACCAGCACTATTATTGAACTACAGTAGATTTTATATAAAGTTCACTGATCAAATCGATGTACATATGATCAATCAATTATATGAAACTATGTTACTGAAAACTTAAGCTGAATTTTACAAAATTATATAAAATTACAGTAATTTTACAACTCTGATTATATTATAGCAAAATTTTCATTTGGATAGCTTTACTTAGTACATAGGCTGCCACTTTATTAGTAAATTTTTAGGTAATTTTAGGAAAATTTTATCAATTACAGCCTATTTTATTTATAATAGTAATAACAAAAGTTACAAATTCAACAGCATATTAAAAATAAAAATTTTATAATCACTTACAAAATTTCTCAATAAATAATAAATAACAAATATACTCTATATTGTTACTAAATCTGTTATGAAAAAATATTTGAATATAGAGTTAGCAATGATAGTAATAATAAAGCATATATAGAAATGATTGTATACCCAAAATTATTTTCCTATATAGCAGTTAGAGTATTCTTCACAGATTTTACAGCTACCACAATATTTGCTCTGACTTTTATAACAATTATGATAATCACTATAATATCTTCCACTATCTATCAAAAATTGCTCAAAAGCTTTGAGATTCAAATGTTTTTCTTCAGGTTGTTTCTGTTTTTGTTTAGCTATAGACAATTCCCTATTAATAATTAATAATTGTCAAAATATATATACAGTATATGTTTAACAATCTTTAAAGAAACAAATTGCTAACCGGCCACTGAGTCTTTGTTGTTCTAATTGCTCTTTTATTTTACAAGAAATGTTGTCAAAGAATAATTTGGCCATATTATAAGTCTTAGTGAATGGCATCAAACCATCATTATCCTTCTCTTCTGAACCAAATTCAATGCCATTTATGCAATTTTCAGCTTTAAGATTATGGTTAGAAGTAATCTTAACCTTTTTGGCAAGATCTTTTTTGTTGCATTTGGTATTTGGCATTTCAAAATTAAAATTCAATTGCGGAACAAGAATTCTACTGAAATAATATCTTCGGTCATAGTTTCTTTTACTGCCACAATCTCTGCTATTTTGTTGTACAAGATAGCTACTTCTTCTAAGAAGTTGGTTATTGCTTGATACTAAACAATTGTTACTTATAGCTATTATCAGATATATATTATATTAGTATTAAAATTTCATTTTATTAAAATTCTAAAAAAAAGTAAGGCTAATTTAAAAGACCAACTCTGTACAAGGTTTACAGTTGAGCTTGCAAAATTGATATTATGAAGTATGTCTATATAATGTATATTAAGTCTTGATATGAGACTGATCATATACCCAATATATTTAACACTGTTCATTTTTGTCTCATACTAAGAATATTAAGATTAAAAGCAGCCTATTTTGTCAACAGAACTTCTAGATTACAGTTGAAAAAGTACTAATTTACTGGCCTATTACACAATGCACTGTAATATGCATTAGTAAGTTCCTAATTTTATACGTGGTTTGCATAATCTCTGAAATAGCTATCTTGATTATCTAAAATGTGCAAAGTATAGACTAATGATAATAAAACTATTTACATTTGAACACCTCTTTCACATTAGTATTCAGATTGGAGGAATAACAAGAATCTAAAAAAAAATAATAAAAGAGATTAGAAATTGGGTTTATATAAAATCTTTTTTTTTTGATTTTACTTTTTTTTTATTTATTTATTTTTTTTTTAATTTTTTAATTTTTCTAAATTTTCAGTTTATAAATTATTTTTTAAAAAATTTTTATTTTTTAACTTTCATTTGAGTGCTGCTAACAGAGAAGAGTACTTTGGTCTTTTAAGTATATTATTGATTATTTATCTAATTTACTCTTTTAATCAATATACATCGGACTTTTATTAGATAGTTCAAAACTGTGTATTGTATTGTTATATAGTATATCATGATTGATTAATTTAAAGTTGATGTGTTATTGATTAGAGGATAAATAATCAATAATATACTTAAAAAACAGAGGTGCCTTTTTCCCTTGACAGCATTCATTAATTTTTGAAAGATATTATAATAATAAGTATGCCAATTAATAAATGGCATAGTTAGGAATAGCCAAATTGAACATTTTTTAAATTTACTATACAAAATGTGCAGCCTACAGCATTATGCAAGCTAACCAGGATTATGCCAACTGACCAGAATCATACTAGCTAGCCTAAGTGTTAAAAATAATAATGCACAGCCTCTCAAAAATCTGCACAGTGATCTATTCCTAGTTATAGCTAATGCTGATTTTTAAAGATCTCAATTTGGATCTATTACACCTATTAAAACTCACATATACTCTTATTCTGCTCTAAATTCTAGTCTAAGCAATCCTAAAAATACTAATCTAAAAAATTTCACTAGCCAAAGATTTCAAAATCAGATGTAATGTGAAAAATATTCAAAAAACAATAATCATCTGTAACTTGAGTTTTTGCCTATTAAACTGCCTTCTGCATATTAATTAAAAGTTTTTGTTGCAAAATTTTAGTATAAGTACAGTCCTCTAAACCTAACTTACTAACAATATCCTAACCTTTAATAGCAAAAAAATTTTTTTAGCAAAATATTTTTACTGAAATTATAATAGTCTCGATAAAAAATGTATTTCCAAAAAATTATAAAATTTTGTATTAAAATAGGTTCTCAAAAGCAGAATCAGCCAAAATCAGCATTGGCTATGACAATAAACATTTGCCAGCACTAACCTAAAAATATAACATAATGATAAATATTGAAATCACATCTACCTAAAATTACTAATCAGAACATCTGAGGCTATACTTATTGGCAAAATAATGTGAATTAAACAAATCAAAATAAGGTTTACTAAATATAATAATAAAATTAGTGCAATATAAAATTTTTTTAAAATGTTCAAACCCAATTTTCATTAAAAATGCTGATAAATTCTGTAATATAGTTCATGATTTTGTAACATAATTGAAACTCAGCTATATAGTGAATAGGGATTGTAATAAATAGTAGAAGACATTATTAAAAAATAAAAAATTATTAGATTAGAGAAAGTAAATTCATTGCAAAAATACATTAATTAGTTTAAAATATTGAAATTACAGGTTAAGTACCTGATTCTTGGGCTAAATTTATTATATTCCAGATCAAAAAAATTCAAAAAAGTAATTTAGCAATAGCAAAATATTTGTCTTTGTACTATACAATATCTTTACAAATTATTTCTAATAGTTTGTCAGTGGTATAACATCACATTGTTAAAAAATAAAACCAATGCAAAAATAGACTTCCCAAAAGAAAGTTATATGTGTAAAACAAAAGTTAGTGCAGAATAGAGAAATTTATTAGTTACTTTATTTTAGGAAAAAGCCCAGAAGTATTTCATTGTTTTTCAAGTGCATCAAATATATCTATATGGCACCTCCTGTCTATTTAACTAGTTTAAGAAATTTAAGACTAATTAAGAACTTATCTTTTCTAGATTAAAGCCTAGCAGTATTCCATTGTTTTCTCAAATGCATTGAATATAGATGCAAAGTCTTCTAACTGTTTTAAGAAATTGAAAATTTCTTCAAACTTGTCAGATGTAAATTAGTAATATCTTCTGCCATTTATCTGTTTTTAAGAGTTTGAAAATTTCTTCAAACTCATTAAATATAGATTGGTGGTATCTTCTGCTATAAACTGTTTTAAGAAATTGAAATTTCTGGATATAAATCAGCAGCACCACCTATGTATTAAGAAATCCAATTGTAAAAAAAAAAAAATTTTAATAAAAATGATATTTAAATTTTTTTCAAATACATTGAATATAAAATTAGCTACACAACCTATCTATTAAACTATTAAGAAAAATTTATCAATTATGTCAAATATAATAAGAAAGAAGTGATTTAAAACAAATTTACTTCAGATATATATCCTATTCATTATATTAATAAAGGACATTAATAAAGAATAGATATATTTAATATAAATTCTTTTGGATGCATCGAATATAATTTGTAATACTCTGTTCATTAAATTATTAAGGAAAAGATAATTATAAAAAATTTTTTTAAAAAAAGTAAATTTTCTTTATATATATCGAACATAATATTTAAGTTTTTTTTTTATTTGTAACAATATAAAAACATTTAAGAATTAAACTATATTAAAAAATGATAAAATATATTGCACAAAAAAAATATAATACCTACAGACATAAGTCAAATATTGTTATAACCATCTCCTGAACTTGAATAAATAGAATCGCTTCATAATTGCATGAACTTTAATTGCAAATAATTAACAAGATGTATAGCCAATTATTAGTATATTGCTTTATTCACTATAAATATAACTGAATTCTATCATAACAATCTGTAATACTAAAATATTCTATTAATCTACTCAAGATACTCATTCAATTACTTTTTTTTCTTATTTGATCCATAGTCAATAGTAATCTCTGATTTTTTTTTGTTTTTTGTTTTTTTTCTTTATTTCATTTTTCCTTTTCTCTTTTTTAACCCTTTCTTTGTTCTATTTTCTTCTTTCTATTAGTCTTCTTTTCTAATCTTTCTTTTCTTTTTGAATTTTTTTTATTCTTCATTTTAATTTTTTTTTTACATTCTTATTAATTCTTAAAATGCAAGCTTCAAATATATTAGAATACAACAAATTTTATATTTACAAAAAAGCAAACATGCAATACCAAATATTTTACAATGCTTTTGCATACAATCACATGATCAGCACTGAGAATCCTAAATATTCAAAAGATTTAGTATGCAAAGAAGCCCTTGATGCATGGAATAAAATTAAATTAAAGCCCAAAAATGAAATTAAAAATACCATTGGATATCTCATTAAAGATGCTGCCTCTACTACCCAATATCTAAATCTTGTCCAATATTTTAATACTGCTACTTTAACTCAAAATAAAATAACTAAGAAAATTGTTGTTCCTGGTGCACCACCATCAAATGCTGCAGTATAGAAAAAAGTAAAAGAAATCATCATTAAACCAAATGAGGAAATTGCCAAATATCAAAAGGAATATAATTCGACAACTAATCTATAGCCCAAATATAAGCTAATGAATTGCATACAGAACCTTAAACAAGTCCTCAATAATGAAGATAAAAAACTGCAAAGCCTAAAAAAAATTGCAAATTACCAATATAAATGTAAAGAAAAAAAAGATCAAGATTTAAATAAGCATCAGCAAGTTGTAAAATATGACTCGCCTGGGCACCCTTCTGTTCTGCACAAATATCCAGACTTATTAGAGCATATTCATAAAAGTATAGAATTCAGTGCTGCTAATAGCAAGAGAATAAAAGAAGTTATTAAAGTCCAAACAGTTAATCACTTACAGGAGGCACTGAAGTCAAAATATGATAAACATCTTTCTCAGTCTACTGTATATAATTACCTGCTACTACATTATTCAAATACAATAGAAGCAAAAAATCACCATCATCTAACTAATATTCGGGTAACAATATGTATTTTAATGTCTATTAGCTTTTTTTATATTGTATATAATACTCTACAAAACCGAATCAAATTTTAAATTTGAATCAAATATTTGAAATTATTTGACAAAATTTTAATTAATTTGATCAAATATTTAATTTAAATTCAAAATTTAGTTTGATTTTGCAAAGTACTAATTGTATATATTTATATCTTTTTTTTATTTTTATTTTTATTTTTTTTTTAAGTTAAAGTTTCTATCTTGGGAGTTGTGATGTTTTTATTCAAGTATATTAGAACATGGTATGCCATCAGGGGCTCATCTTATATTGGAGGTTACAACTAGCCATATATGCACTTTTGGTGCCTAATTTAAGTAGTTTGCTTACATATTACTATATAAGTTCTACACTAGTTGCCATATCTGCAAGCCAACTAGGGGTCTTGCCTATTTAAACCCTTTGCATATGCAGTTCTTCTTGTATTATGGAAACATCTCAAGGCACCACCTATCCAAGTTCCTAATGCTTATCAGTATCTTTAGAACTACTTTATCCTCAATAAGAAACTTACTAAAGCTTTTATATTCTACATATATAGATCTAGTTTTATGCAACACGCTATAGTTATCTAATACTTGCAGTCACAGGGGTTACCTGTTTGACCACTATGTTATACTATTTCTACTCTTGTAAAGTTCACTAGAACCCCAATATCCATCTTTCTGGCATTTTCTTCATTATTCTCTACTAGCCACAACTCAGAACTGTTGGTCTCATTCCAGACTACCAATCCAGATGGCCCAGTATGATATACTTCTGTATCCTTTTTCTCTGGTAAACCCAATGGCCTAATTGGTTATATGCTCCTTTACATATATTTGCTATCTAGTTTTAATCTTCAGTTCCTATAAAGATGTTTTATGGACTTTAACCAGTCCGATAGTACTGTCGAAAGTTCATGTTATCTCTTTATTCATGAATTTTCAAATGGGTTTTTATCACTTTGGTTTCTTAGTCTTCTATGCCTGATGGTCTTATTGTGAGTTTGCACCAAAGTCTTATGCAACACCAGTAAACATTCCTCTATGTACATGTAATGTTACACTTTATATAGATGCCTGAGCTCCCAATGTTAGGAGAATCCGACTTGGTGTACCTGAATAACAGCCACATGAGGCCAACCGATTGACAGGAGACAGTTATCATAATACAGATATAATTTTCAAATTTCATCATAGGTGGGATTTGAACCTTAAACCTGCCACTTGAAGGATAACAACTCAACTACTACATTAGAATCGCCATCCTCTATATATCTATATCTATAAATGTTCATCCTTTATCTTTATATGGTTTAAAAATTATACAGTTGTTCCTCATTAATATTAGCTCTATTAATATCTACCTAAGCTATAAAATGAATTTCTATATATTAAATTATACTTATTAATACTTCCTCATATATATCAACTTTAATATGTTCTCTTACTAATATCACTATTGATATAAATATAAAAACGATCCAAATTGGTTGATATAAATAAGGGATAACTGTAAAAAAATATTTTTATTTAATATATTAAGGTATAAAAAAAAATAACATTTTAAATTATTAACTTTTTGATAACATGTTTATATTTTTTTATTTCTATTTATTAAAAATGCTAGTTCAGGTTGCAACTGTTTTAAGAAATAAAAGAACAGAACATCAAGATGTTCATTATTGTTTTGTTTCTGTAAAGGCAGCAAGACAATTTGCATTTCTATTTCTAACCTTTTTAGTAATTATATCACAAAACAATAAAGCCAAGATACCCCTTGGCATTTCTGCAGTTAGTAAAAGTTTTAGAACTATACAAAGTATAAATGAGCCAGTTATTGTTCTGAACCATGACTTTTTTGTTAGTTCACAACAGAAACTTGTTCCATCGGTTTACTTAATCATTGATTCAAGTAACACAAATGATACACTTCATAGCAGCCAATTATTAATCTATATTTAGCCACAATATGAGCTAGGAACAAGCTCAATCACCTATATAAATGATCTAAATTCATTGGTGAATAGTGACCATTTCGACAATACGATAAAGGTTAATAATAAAATAAGATCTATCTGAGTTCTCTTTGTAGATAGAGGCCTAGATAAAAATTCCCACTACCTGAAAAATATCTCCAACTACTGTAATATGTTTCACTCTTTTGATCTTGATTATTTGACAGTTAGAACTTATGCATCAGATTAGTAATCTAGAATCTATTAAAATAATTTAGTTAGCTAATCAATTTTATAAGAAAATTTCTATTTTGCCTGAATTAAAGTTGTCTAATCAACTATAATGTTATTTATATAACTAAAATCAATAGTATTAGTAATATTTCAAGTGGCTTTAATCCAGATAAAAATAGAATTTCTCAAATTATAATTTATTAAAATAGTAATTAACTGAATTGTAATATTGATTAGTTAAAAATTAACTAGCTAATAAATATTAAATAACTAATCAGCTAAACATTAGTTTGTTATATTAATTACTTAAGATCACTTAGCATACAATCCTGTTAAGAGGAGTATAACAACCCTTTTAGGAAAACTTGTAGGCATGATACTGTCTGTTGACCACTATGATACCCACCTTAACACATAGGATAATGTTATTAATATAGTGCTAGCAAAGAAAAATTTTGAATATGCCAGTGATCTTCTTTGCAATTGGTAGAAACAGAACAATATATTCAGAAAGCCAGTTGTAACTGAATACATCGATATGAAAAGTATCTCAGTTTCAGATAATATATCTTGGGAATGGATAGAGATCTATACAAGAATCTGCAAATACTCATTAGATGTAAAGAAATGTAATAACATCAAATATTGCTCTCCTAAAAGATGTAAGGAGGCTGCAAGCTATCTTGCCTTAAATGATGGTTTTCTCTCTTCTTAAGCAATAGGAAAAGATGGGCATTATATTAATTCAATACATCTATTAGAGTATTTTAACAAGAAAAAAATATCAGGATACAACCAACTTTGTCCTTCTATGGCTGATAATTATATAAATCACCTTTGCTCTGGTTGTGAAAAGTATTTTTCAACAGTTTTGATAGTTACTGCCCACAAAAAAAGCCAATATTCAAAGAAAGTTAGTCTAACTAAACGTAAATCTAGAAGGTCAAAAAAAACTGAAACAACAGCAAAGGAAGTCTGTCCAACTAAACATGAACCTGGAAGACTAAAAAAAACTGATATAATGACAAAAAAAAACAAAAAACTAAATAAAATTTTTCATTCATTAATTTTTTTATTTAATAAATTTCTGTTGTAATAATCTGAAATAAAGATTAATTTTAATAAAGAAAAGATAGAATCATAACAAAACTTTAACAAAATGTTTAGCACCTCACCTTATATTCTACCTAAAAATTCTTATCAACAAAGGTTTTAAATCTCGACTAAATAGTATACATCCCTTAAAAAAACTTTTTTATTTTATTTAGTCAATTTAGTTCTGTGGTCTAGCGAAAATTTATATATTTTTTACTATTATAAATAGTAAAATACATGCAACTTAAAGACTTTATGATCTATATTAAAATTTGGATTTTATTTATAGAATTTGAAATTCATATAAATAAATCGGGTTTCTAAATCTATATATATAAAGACTTCCATAGCATAAAAGGGCAGTGAACAAAGCCTATTACTCTAATTCTTCAAAAAGTTGCATTTTAAAAAAATTTTTTTTCTTTTGTCACTGCCCCTTTTTGCTGTAGGAGTTTTATATATGTTATAATTTAAATTTTGATATTTTGTTAACTGCCAAAGTTTACAACTTAATCTTTATATTTGCTAATATTATTCAACCCTCTGTCTACCATATTGATAAATTTGAAATTTTATTACTCAAATCCAGATTTAATAAAAGTACCAAGCATAAGTACCAAGTGTGTGAACCTCTTAGTGAATACTGCAATATTAGGAAACTAAAAACTCTATTTATTAAATATAGTTATATTGATTAGTAAAAGTATTAATTTTGTTACGTATAATAACTAGTTTGGGGCTTTACTAATTAAATTGGTGCACATACTTAAGCCTTCTACTAAAAAGCAAAATCTACAGAAATAAAGAGGATTTTTATTATACTGTCACATTAAATCTAAAATTAATATATATGAATTAGATATCAGTACAAAAGACATAGTTATATAAAATAAATTATGTAGCAGTAGGGATGAGTGGATTGGTTTGGATCGATTTAATATATTTTATAATATATGCAAAAGCTGTATAAATTAAATCACTCTAAACTTTATATCTCTACATAGCAGTTATGTGAAACAGTTAGAATTTATTATAGTATGATTTTATAACTGCTAATTATGCATACATGGACTATAATACAATTTTGCAGGAAAAATAACTATTAATCATTAGTTACTGTGCCACACAGGCCATTATGACAATCTTGTGAGGACAATAACCATTAGAACTATTAGTTACTACACCAAATGAGGCTGTTATGATATAATTTTGTGAAGAAAATAACCATTAAAACTGTTAGTTATTGCATCAAATAAGGCCATTATGATATAATCTTGTAATAGTTAATTACTGTATCATATAGAACTGTTAACCAACTATTTGGTAATTATGTAAGAGGTTTCTAGGGGGTTTCCAAAACCCTGAATCTAAGGAAGGGTATATTTACATAATAAGTAAAAGCTTTCTTAGTATTATATTAGTAAAAATTTAATGATTAATATTTGGTATATCAAATAATATACATAGTATATTATTTAATATATCCAAAATCAATCAAATATATAACAAAATTCAATATTTTAAATCTTAATTTATTAATTATATAAAATTTTAATTTTTTTATTTTAATAGTTAATTAACCTATTATATAATGTTCTTGATACAATTACAAAACCTAATTTTAAATATCTTTATTGACTATTATATATACTGATAGCACTTTAGCCTAATAATGTTTCTGATTGAACAGTAAATAAAAATAAAGATGAAAGTAAATATAGTAATAAGAATGAAAATAAAAGTAAGAAAAAAGAAGAAGAAGAAGAGAAAGAAGAAGAGTAGAAAAGTAGCAATAAAAAATAAGACTATAAAAGTAAAAATAGTAACAATAGTGAAGATACACAGATGTATAAAAAAAGAATTAGTAAAAGACTAGCTTCTGATTTCATAAAGAAATAGCAAAAAAAGCGAAGAGTTTAATCTTATTTTAGAAAAATCTTTTTTATAAATTTTGTATTTATTTTTTTTATTTTATTTTGCTAATAAAAATATATAATTATTAGCAAGTTTAGAATGCTTTTAATTTTTTTTTTAAATATTAAGGTGAGTACTTGTAATTCAGAATTTTATTAATAGTATATTTGGCTAATAGTTGCATTACAACCACAGAGAGCAACTATAAAAAAAGTGTACAACTAGTCACTTATACAACTTTAGTTATTGTTTAATTTAAATAGTCTGCCTAAAGGTTCTATACTAGTTGTTAACCTGGAACCTACCTGTAGGTTTCTTATTTAACTATTCTAGTTTCTGTATCCATCTACCTACCTCTGCCTATCAACAACCTCAGCTGATGTCAAAGAAAATATGCTATGATCACTAAGTTTTTAAAGCAATTCATTTATATAAAGAACTTTTGACTTTATACTAAACCTTTTAGAATCTTCTGTATTTCATTTTTACAACTGATCTGATATCGCTATAGCCAAAACTAATACTGATGATTAGGGCATACCATTAAACTGCTATGCTCTTGTAGAGTTTATCTCAACTTCAGTACTAACTTCACAACATATCCCTACTACTTTGGTATTCAATTCAAGTTTCACCAAGCTCCCAAACCAGATAGTCCAGAAAGGCAGATTGTAATTATACACTTCTGGTTTATATGTTTGTCAGCATATAATCTTTTCCTTCAGAATGGATCTCAGCAGCCTGGTTGGTTCTATTTAGCCCCTTCTTAAAGGCTAGCTCTGTGTCTAGTTTTACAAATTCTAGCTTTGTTTCATAGATCTAGTCTTTACAATAGCATTATTGAAAGTTCAGATTACTTTTCTACTTAGGTCTTTCAAGTAAACTTCTGTTTTCTTATCTGGTTCCTGTAATTCACATAATCTAAGAACTTATTTTGGGTTCATACTGCCTAGTACCAGTTTGTGTTCCTTTATACAATGTTGCATAAATTTTAGATCTTCCAGTCATGCTAGTATGACATGAGTTACAAGTGTCTTATTCTAACCAATTACAGAAGACAGTTAACTATAATACAGAAAGAATTGCAAATTTTTATTGTCACTGGGATTTGAACTCTAAACCTGCCACTTGGGGGTTGACAATTTATCTACTTCACTAGATTACTATACCCCTTTGAATACTTTTAATAAACCAGCTTTAATTATATATATAGTAATATATATTTAGTATAAATTTTGTTTTAAAATTTGACATCTAAATTCTGAATAAATTAAGATTTGCTCAGAATTTAGACATTGAATTTTCATATTTGAGCTAAATTTTATTAGTAATCAATTGCCAATTATAAGTTAATTTATTATATTATTCAATTGTTAATTAAAATAGCTAATTTAGCCTAAACTCAACTGTTAATTAATTAGCCAAATTTATACCAAATGTTATTAGCAATCGACTGTTAATCAATTACTGATTTTGACTTGTCATTTAGTATAAAATTAGCCAATAATTAACAGTTGAGTTTAGACTAAATCAGCCATTTTAATTAGTAGTTGATTTTCTTATATTTGACTAGTATTTGTATCTGAAATCATTCTAAACCAATTATTATGTTTTTTTTGGATTTTGCTAATTGCTTCTTTTTTGCTATATTTACAATCAAATGTAACTATAATTTAAATATTGTCTTTTTTAAACAGCTTTTTAACATTTTTAACATGTTTGTTAGATATTAATAATTTGTTAATAAACTTTGTTCTTTTTTTTTGTAAGCTGCCTAATATATTAAATGCTAAAATTTTCACTATATATGTTTTTCTACTATTATAATCTTTGTTTAAAAATGACTATAAGCTTTGTTTTAATGGCACTTCTGTAAAGTTACTTTTATTTTTTTATTGTTCTGCTTTATGAATTTCTTCTTTTTTATTTCTTTTGTTTTCTTTTTGGTCTCTAATTGCTATAATTATATCTTGATAGTCTTGTTGTATAATATTTGTTTTTAAGACTCTAATTTCTTTTTCTATATAATCTTTTGCTATTGTTGCTTAAGTTATTATATTTGTTACTTCTATATTTATGATTTTTTTAGCTTTTCTTCTTTTCTGTCTTTTTTTTTTTTTTGTATTTGTATTTTGTAATAGTTCTTTTTTATTTATCACTATATCTACTGCTTTTATCTTTTGTTTTATTTTTTTTATATACATTTCTGATATAATAGTTTTTTTTTTAGTATAACTTGACTTTTTTTGCTTCTTATACTTTAAACTGCTAATAGGTGTTAGCTTATGCAATTTAATTCTTCTGTTTATTTTTCTATATTTAATAGGTCTTTTATATCTACTTTGATTATTATTTTATATATTTTTTTTAGCATTACTGTTTTTATTTAATTGTCTTCTATAATGCTGCTGCTATTATATCTCTTACATTAAAATAATTGTCTTTATTTGCTAATTCTTGTTTTAATTCTTTGCTATTTATAAGCTTCAGTTCTGTTTCTGTCTTTTTACTTACTAATTTCATAGTTATTAACTTTTTTATCTTTGTCTATATTATTATTTGGCTTTATTTTGTGCTAGTTTTTTTAGTTTGTTTACAATCATATATACTCTGTAATACTTATGTATTTGCTTGTCTATATTTGTATATATTTGTTTGTTTGTTTTTTCATATGCTCATATGTTTTAAACAGATTTGCAATTTCAG